AGGTGGGGGGGGGGGGAAGGAAATCAAAGGGCTTATAAAAATGGAAGCAAAAAGACACCTGTGGGCAGAATTACCGCTTCAAGTGCCACCAACTAAAAAATAAAAAGCTGACTCCCTTCAAGCCAAAATAGGACTCCCCCTCGAACAGGCTTGAGAACACGTAATGAACCCGTCAGCACGCTGTATGACAGATTGTAAACTCGGGCGCATGGTAAACCCGGAGTCCCCCCACAGTGCGTGATAGTCTTAGTGTTTTCTGGGACCTTCTCAGCCAATACAAAGTCACACAGTTTGGCTACTTTGTCGCTCCGGACCAAGATGTTGCCCATTTTGACATCGCCGTGGTAGATTCTTTCTCCGTGCAAGTAGATCAGCTGTGTGTGTATGGGGTAGGAGGGGGGGGTAGAGGTGTTTGATTTGAATTAGCAAGTGGTAAGTGGACAAGACGAGTCACGACCACCTAACAAAACTCTCCTGTAAGTGTGGAGTAATACACCGCGAAAGCTCCCTATCTTGTGTGTGTGTGTGTGTGTGTGTGTGTGTGTGTGTGTGTGTGTGTGTGTTTGTTTGCGTCTGTGTGTGTGTGTGTGTGTTTGGGATTGGGGGTGGGGGAGATACTATGATGGTTAATTCAAAACAAGAAAGACAAAAAAGGAGGGGCATAGAGATTTGCTTTTTTGTAGGTGGGGGTATAATGGGGGGGGGGGTGTCGGGGTTGTTTTATGATTTAGTAAGAGTTATTTTGGCAATTACAAGATAAATAGGTCATTATAATAACTGTGCCACAGATTAGAGTATTACTAGAGAGTAACTAACAAAGAAAAGGAGGCGAATCGATAAGGATGGCAGCAATATAATTGTAATGCATCCGATGATGAAGAGAAGGCGAAGGTTGATGGCCTAAACAAAGCTAGTATTCATACAAATGTATCGATTCGTGTTGCAGTTAAAGAAACGGATATCAATATACAAGAAATTCCTAGTTCTATTTTATTTAAACAATAATGATGATTTGATGTTTGTTAATATTATTGTTGTTGATGATGATGATGATGATGATGATGATGATGATGATGATGATGATGATGATGATGATGATGATGATGATGATGATGATGATGATGATGATGATGACGATGATACTGTATTTAAATCGCCACTTACAGCCTTAGACACTTGGAGAATAACGTTGTCCTTATCTTCAACGCTGAGCAGCCTGTACATTTTGAGAAGGCTTTTGTTGCAGTACTCCGAGAATATGACCAAACAGTCTGGGAAAACAGCCTGCAGCAGAAAGGAAAAACACGTGTAAATAAATAAATAAAATGGTGAACATTTATCTATATTGGTGTTGCTTTGGGGAGAAAGATGAACAGAAATAAAGATTTGATGGGAATGCAGTTTCAGTAAATATCTCTCTCCCTCTCTTTTTCTCTAATTTTTATTTTCTCTATCCATCTATCTATCCATCCATTTATGTATCTATGTATGTATCTATGTATCTATCTATGTATCTATCTATGTATCTATCTTTGTATCTATCTATGTATCTATCTATGTATCTATCTATGTATCTATCTATGTATCTATCTATCTATCTATCTATCTATCTATCTATCTATCTATCTATCTATCTATCTTGTCTCATTGCCCCGACATGTTGCTATAAGTTATATATTATAGACAATCTGTTCCTGCGAACGGGACGCCATAAACTATTCCCCTATCGTTATCGTTAGTCCATCCTAAAAATGAACTGATCATGTTGCGTAGTCCCACCCACTGTTTACCCAAGTTGACCAATAGATCATCATCATCTTGATGTAGTGCTAACTCGGCGACAGACATCGGCGTTCATGGTTCTCCATTCATTCCTTTGGTCGGATTCTCTTGAAAAAAAGCTATGTTTCCCTGATCTTTCCACGTATCCCATTTGTTTAAGTTCCCTAAGTAGGTTGCTTTGGGCCTACCCCAGCCTCGTTTGCCTTCAATTTTATCTGTGAGAGTAGATGTTCAAGACCTTTATGTCTATTCAGGTGTCCAAAAAACTGCATTTGTCGTTTCCTGATTGTTTTTAACAGTGAGCGTCCCACGTGGGCTTCACCTAGCACTACCTCATCCCTTCCACGATATTCTCAGCAGTCTCCTAAGAAACTACATTTCTTTTACTTCTACATGTATTTTATTTTCACCGTCTTTAGTGATTGTCCAGCATTCACAGCCATATAGAAGGGTTGACTATACACAGCATTTCAGAATTTTTATTTTGGTAGTCATTGGGATGTTTTCATTTTTCAGGATTGGGATCATCTTAATAAAGCAATTATTGCAATTCACCGGAATTTTTTCTATGGAACATTTAGCATCATATGTTATTACCAGTAGGTAATTAAATTATTTTCAGCTGCTGGTGAGGGAGGCATATGAAGCTTCATTACCTATTAGATCCGCCCACAACTCTTAACTGTAACCAGTTAAACCAGAGCGGCCCCAAGATGATATAAGTTGTCTTAGATAGTTTCGTGTATAACATAATAACATAATAACATAATAACATACATACATACATACATACATACATACATACATATATACATACATACATACATACATACATACATACATACATACATACATACATACATACATACATACATACATACATACATACATACATACATACATACATACATACATACATACATACATACATACATACATACATACATACATACATACATAGATAGATAGAAAGGGAGGAACAGAATGTTGAGATAAAAAAGAATGTTAAGGTATATCTGATAATATTGAACAATAAAGGCTTATCAATTTGCACTTACCGATTAATCATCGTGAGATGTCTCGTGTTCAAGTTCACAAGTAGCCGACTCATGCAGAGTCTCGCACTTGAGAATAAGAAGAGAGAGACACACATTAGGTACATTAGGACGATTGTAGCGTTGCATCTTGCGTGTGATAGATCTAGCTATG